CTTGGCGGTTGATTGTTTTTTTGTCTTTTGCTTCTACTAGGACATGTTCTAGCATTGTGTCCTTGAATTTTGTGACAGACGCTGCACCTTTTGCTATGGTCTTTCGGCTGCTTGCTCTCAGCTTGTTTCGACACCGGTTGTTCTTTGTCTTTCTTCCTCCCCTTTGTTATTGTAACCGCTCCCCTTTGTTATTGAAACCGCTAATTATTTGTAGTAACTCATATGCAATATCTTAGACAGCCGACAGTTATTTCATACGCGATACATACACCAATGAGCAGTAAAAAAATACTTGCAGTAACCAGTCAGCAGTAACATGGAGATTCCTAGGGAAAAAGCTCTCTTGAACAAGTTCACATGTAATAAATCAGACAGTAAAATAGTACAGGAAATGTAGTAACAAAACAGTTAAAATGTAGTAACAAAATGGTGATTCCTAAGGCAAATGCTCTCTTGAACTAGCTCACATGTTGTAAATCGGACAGTAAAATAGTACAGGAAAGGCAGTAACAAAACAATTGAAATGCAGTAACAAGAGCTAGCAGTAACATGGTGATTGCTAGGGCAAATGCTCTCTCGAACAAGCTCACATGCAGTAAATCAGACGGTAAAATAATACAGGAAATGCAGTAACGGAACAGTTGAAATGCAGTAACAAAATCTTTCTCTTAAGACAAAGCTCACATGCAGTAAACCAGACAGTAACAGGGAGGTATATAGACAGTAACGACACAGTAACCACAGATTTCTCCTGACAAAGCTAGCATGCAGTAAACCAGACAGTAATATAGTGATCTATAGACAGTAACAACGAGATTTTTTTTAGGGAAAAACTCATATGTAGTAAACCAGACAGTAACAAGTAGATCTATAAACAGTAACAACGCAGTAACCAAAAATTTCTCTTGACAAAACTTGCATGCAGTAAACCGGACAGTAACATGGTGATCTATAGACAGTAACAACAAGATTTTTTAGGGCAAAACTCACCTCAAGAAAAAAAGAAGGGAGTCATGAGCGGCGCCGAAAGGACGAGCTGAGAGGGGTGCGTCGTTAGGGTTCCCCATGACGGCACGACGCTGTGGAAGGTATGAGAGTTGTTGCGAGAGATGGAGGAAAGGAGGGAGGAGAAAGACGGAGGAAAGGAGAGGGAGGGGGACGGAGGGAGGAGAGGGATGGGGAAGGAGGCCGGCCGGAGGGAGCCTCCGTGCGGCGGCGCCCGAGGTTGGCGTAGCTGAGGGCAGCGCGCGACTCCCTCCTCTCGGCGGCGGATGCGGGAGTTTTTTTTCTCTCTTTTTTCGCGTTCCTTTTTTTTCTCTTTTCGCTATTTTGGGGTGGGCCGGTGGGGTGCGGGGGCGGATCACGGGATGGTGGGGGCGGCCAGTCGGGATGGCGCCTTGGCCGGGTGTAGAATATATATATATATATACATATACATACATATATATATATATATATATATATACACACACATATATATATATATATATATATACATACATATATATAGAGGAGCTGGATAATATGAACCTAGGTGCATATGCACCAGCAATCTGGACCATCCATATGCTTGTGTGGATCTCAAAGCATGCAAAGCATGCACATTTAGATATTGTTGAATTGTACCTACCCTGCTCAATTGCTTGTGTGGATCTCACAGCATGCACATTTAGATATTGTTGAATTGTACCTACCCTGCTCAATCCCTTTACAGTGAGAGTAAGAGATGGTACACTATCTAATTCTCATGACCGAAATACCCTTCAAGTAGTACTCTATTTCAATCAATAATTATAAATGGATTATAGTCAAATACTTAAAAATATGATAGTTTTTTTATCTTTATTAGAAGTTGAAAAGATATTGCGATTAAATCATATATTAAATAATTGAAGGAAAATAACCAAATATTTTTTTCCCGATACATCGTACGGGAACTCAACTAATAAATTAAATAAAATATAATTACTCACATATTGTATTTAGATATAAGCTATATAAGATAACATAAAAATATATATATTTATATTAATTATTTTAAAAGCACAGTCTCTTCACATTTCCAAAAAAAAATTATCTTTTTACTCTTAACAATTTCTTTCATCCTCCTTCCCCTAAAAAAACTTTAAAAAAATTATAATGCTCTTTCGTCCTCCTACCTAAAAAGTTGATTCCTCACCGTTATAAAAACTATCCTCTAAAAATATATCTAAATAAATGTTAAAAATCCACAACACATCATAAAAAATATATAGAAATGAACCAAATTATATTTTTATCTATAGATCTAATTATAATGCATGGGCATGTAACTAGTAAATAGCGAAAGTCACGACTCACTAAATAATATATATAGTGCAGTGTAATCGTTGGATTCATAACAAGTGTTAGTTCTAGTCCGGATTTGTACTATGATCATTGGATTCGTACATATGAAACTTATGTTGGCTACCTATCCAGATTTATAGTATTATGATGGTTCACAAATGAAGGGCTTAGATTGGTTGACACCGGCATGTAAATCAATGCGTTCGAACCAACACAAAGTGAAGATATCAATGTGTTTGAGTACCTCGGCTTGCCCACGCAGAGGACTTGGAATGAGGCAGATTTTGGAAGCCGAATAAGGGCATGGCATGTTCTGATTCCTGCTTAATAGATTAATTAAGTTGTAGTGGAAATGGAGGTACACTGACCATAGGGATGCGATCCTTATTGCTTTAGTTGTCAAAATTTCATCCAAACTGACAAAGGGAATGTAACATGTAACATGGGACTTCAACATTAAGAAAAATCAACTTAATTGGGGGACTGCATAGAGTTTGTTAGCAAATGATCTTGCAGTTTGTTCAACATACGCTCCTAAAGAAGTATTCATTTCCAAACTGAGTTTTGTTCTGTACTTTTGTTAATCATACAAAAGTTTAGCAAAAGTATATCGACTTGTTTGGGATGAACACAAGCATTATTCCTCTCGCACTTGTTTGTTTGCGTTTGCTTAATACATTTTGATGTGACAATATATTTAATGTATGCATATTTTTGTTCGCATTGCTAATAATTCAATATGATAAGTCATGTCTTTCTCAATTATGTTATAAAGATTGAATGAAAATATTGAGGTCGTGCTCTTTTTTGTTTTGTTTTTGGAACTCTATTTTATATGCGCAACTAATGAAGAAGGACTCGCAAGAGGTCTTTTGCTGGGATATTGGATAGGCTGGAAAAATGCTACAGCGACAACGAGCAAGCGGGTTGGCAAATCTGAGCCCTTGTTTAGTTTCCAACTTTTTCTTCAAACTTCAAACTTTTCCATCACATCAAAACTTTCCTACACACACAAACTTCCAAATTTTCCATTACATCGTTCTAATTTCAACCAAACTTTCAATTTTGGTATGAATTAAATACACCCTGAGGCGATGTTGGCAGTCGGTTTTCTTGTCGGACTTACTGTTGGATCCACTTTAACTCTATGAAGGAGATGTGAAGCAGCATCCTTCCATATCCAAAGTAACCTACCTATTATCGGTCAGGATCGATATGTTGTCCTCGTTGTCAGATGAGCATCTGCTTGTTAAATGTTCAAGTGCATTGTTGTTTGTCGTTGCATCCTGACTAGTGACCAATGGTAGCTACTCTCAAGCACTAATGGGGACATTCCGCATTTTGTCTATTTTTGCCATGTTTTTTCTGCCTCCTAAGGTCAGATTGTGCAGTTTGCCACATTTTGGCGTGTTTGGTTGCCTCCATCAGGCTTGGCAGATCGTGTTTTGTGCCACTTCTATCCTTCGACCTCTGCATCGGGTTTAACTGTTGCAGATGCAGTTTCTTCTCTCTTTTTTTTTTGTTACTGTCTGCTTATATTCTCTTTCCCATTAGAATTTAGATGTAACACGACAACAATGTACATGTATATATCTTGTGTTATATGTTATCCCCTTTATTTAAGGCCCGGTTTACTTCCCCAAAATTTTTTTTTCTCAAAAACGTCACATCAAATCTTTGGACACATGTAATGGAGCATTAAATATAAATAAAAATAAAAACTAATTGTACAGTTGGGGGGAAATCGCGAGACGAATCTTCTGAGCCTAATTAGTCCATGATTAGCCACATAAGTGCTACAGTAATCCACATGTGCTAATGACAGATTTTAGGCTCAAAAGATTTATCTCGCGGTTTCCAGGCAAGTTATGAAATTAGTTTTTTCTTTCGTGTCCGAAAACCCCTTTCGATATTCGGTCAAACGTCCGATGTGATACCCAAAAATTTTAATTTCGCGAACTATACAAAGCCAAATTTTCCGTGTCACAGGGCTTGAATGCCCCAAGGATGGAGGACTCAGCGCCGGCACTGTAGGCCCATTGCACAACTACCGTATGCTGAAGTCTACGAGGGTGTTTAGATCAGGGGTGTAAAGTTTTGGCACGTCATATCGGGTATTATATAATATATCGTATGGGGTGTTCGGGAACTAATAAAAATAATTACATAATCCGTTGGTAAACCACGAGATGAATTTATTAAGCCTAATTAATTTATCATTAGCAAATGTCATTAGCAAATGTTTACTGTAGCACCACATTGTCAAATCATGGAGCAATTAGGCTTAAAAGTTTCATCTCGCAAATTAGTCGCAATCTATGCAAATTAGTTATTTTTTAGCCTATATTTAATACTTTATACGGGTATTCAAACGTTCGATGTGGTTCGATGTGACAGAGTATAAAATTTTTGTGTGGGAACTAAATAGGGCCTGTAGTGAGAGCGTAAACTGGGGAGTGATGTGCCAATACAGTGACACTCACAAAGACGTTAAAATCCCCAATTTATCCATTGTTCAGATGTTTACTTGTTTTAGATTTTTACTGGTTCTTCCTGTACAAGTGCAGTATTGAGAAGGTATTTTCTTAAATGGAATTATATGTAAAGAGTGAGCTAAGCAATAGTGCTGGAAAAATTCTGTGCTTTTATTTTAATTAATTATTAAGACGTACTTTATATGAATAGTTTGTACTTTCATACTTGTTGTAAGGTACCGAATTTTACAGGAAATATGGGAAGTTTGAAACCAATCAAGAATAGTAACCTGAATAGTGTCAAACCAAGGAAACCAGAACAGAAACCCAACTAGCTATATTAACCTATAATACATCTTAAGAGCAAGTGGAAAATCAGACAATCTAAACAATCTGAACTCTGAAGAAGACTAAAGAACAAGATTAATCAACAAATACCGTGGGCAAGACTGAAGAACTGCCTTCCATAGGTCCATAGGCAAAAGGCGCCGTCGAGCTCCAAAACTCTGGACAGCACCTCCAAAAGAAAAATGCTGTACACAACATTAGTCCGGGGCTATAATGAACCGAAATATGGAGAGCCGCAAAAAAAGACGTTAGCTGAATAAAAACCTGTATTGAAGCTCAAGGAGCAAATTTACCGTCTCCTCACTTCCAATTTGAGCATTGACAGCAACAGGAAGCACAACCATTTACAACTTTTTTTCTATTCTTCTAACCTGTTAACAAATGAATTATATTTTGAGCGATGGCTGCTTTCGCCCTAACAACTTAGGGAAACAGCGATCACAGGCTTTCACATGAATATTGCTGTACAAGCAAAAAGAGATGGAATTAACACTAAGGTATAAAAAGAGAAGAAGAAGAAGAAGAAGAAGAAGAAGAAGAAGAAGAAGAAGAAGAAGAAGAAGAAGAAGAAGAAGAAGAAGAAGAAGAAGAAGAAGAAGAATCTCCTGCACTCGCCAGTCTAGTACACGACAAGGTAAGAGATCAACAACTGCATTTTGCCACCACGTGCAGCAGGAGAACCCTTCATCTTTCAGCCAATCCAAACCAAACTGAGTTAAACCATAACTTTCCCCCCACGGGAATGGTGGTTCCTAAAACGAAGCTAAGCTAAAGTATTTACAGCACATGAGTGCACCACCTTAAAGCTGGTAGCTGGTCCTGAACAGCTGTCATGCCTGAATGTTCTTCACACGGAAATCATGCCTGAATGTTGTAAGATTTTTAGTGAATTTATCTCTGTTCTTTGGTTCCAAGTTCCTAGCAACATCAGACATCAGCTTCTCGAAGCATTGCGAAAGGCGTTGTTGCTGGTCTACAGGCTGCAAACAAGACGTACATTAGTTCTTCAATAATGATTACTAATGCTGTTATTGGCAGACATATGTTAACAAAACTTAGGTACATCACAAGCTGGACATACAGTTCTAATCAAAAGATGTACTAGTAGAATTTAATATTTTTACTGAAAAGAAACTTGTCTCCTAACACCTGCACGCTGATGACTGGAAACATTGTTGATAACTTGACACTAGAAAGCTTCAAGCAGAGGAAAAAAAAGGGTTAATTGGATCCATGCCACTGCAAATATGCCAATTCGAAAAAATGCCACTACTATTGAGCATATCGGCTACGTGCCACTAGAATTTGGGGAAATTGGAACCATGCCACTTCCATCCAGTTTTCTGTCAACCTCCGTCATCTCTCTCCCTCTTCCTTTCTTCACTTCTCCACCATGGACACCGGCGAGCACTCCACCTCGAACTCGCTGGTCCTTGCCACTGCAGCTAGCCAGTGATCCCCCCCCCCCTCCATCTCTCGCTGCTCCACCAGCAGCCGCCGCGACCCGTCCGTTCCTCGTCGTCCTTGCCGGCGGACGCAGCACCCTCACCGCCGTCGTCGAGGGAATTAGCAGCCGGGGAGCTTCTCCGCCATGGACGCCGGCGAGCCCAGGAGGGCGACGGCTGAGGGGAATCGGCAGCCGGGGAGCCGATGGTGAAGTGCGGAGGGACGAGCGGCACGGGGGAAGGAGATGAAAGCGAGCGCTCCGGGAGGAGGTCGGTGGCGGTGGCAGCGAGGGTTGGCCACAGCGATGCGGCGGTGGGCGGGGTGACGACCGGCACGGGGGCGGTGGCCGGGGACCTTGCCGGGGGAGCAGACGACGACGATGCAGGCGCAGTCTGGCTCGCCGGCTCCGAGACGAGGCGCTCGACAACGACGACGACGACGCAGGCGCATCCCAGCAGGCCGGCTCCGAGACAAGGTGCTTGACGAATGGTGCCATGACGGTCTCCTCGTCGAGCCCCTTGGCTTGGTGCTGCGGATCGCCTTGGGCGGGCGCAACGGGCTCGTCGGCCTCGCCGCCCGCGCCGCCGCAGCTGGTGCGGCCACATCACCCATCGTCGCGAGATCGGTGAGGGTGAATCGCAAATCTTCCGGCTCCGAGACGATGGCGACAACACCTACCGCATCTACGGTGGTGGAGAGAGAAGGGGAAAGAGAAGAGAGGGGAGGGAGATGGGGCCCACGTGCAGTTGGGGGCTAACAGGGATTTTTGACGGAAAATGTGAACGGTTCCAGTTTCTCCAATTTTCAGTGGCACATAGCCGAATGCTGAATAGTAGTGACATTTTTTCAAATTGGCATATTTGCAGTGGCATGGATCCAATTAACCCAAAAATAAAACTAGAAAGACAGGACTGCATAGTGGAATATCAGACCAGAGAGTTCACTGACCTGTGATGCTAATATCTGTGCTCTCAAATTACTAAACATCTGCACAAAGAAAAACAACTGATTAGAAAAGATCTAAAGACCCTCGCAAAAAAAAAAAGAAAAAAAACAAAGACAATACAAACTGGAAAAAAGAGTGCAAAAGAAATGCTAAGGAACATGATTTAAAAGTTTTAAAAAGACAAGCACCTGTTCACTGATCATTATCAGACTCAGTATTGGCCTACTAAGACTCCATTGATTACCCGCATCCTCAAAGATGATGATCTCAAAAAGCGTCTTCAGTATCTGTCACAGAAAAAAAACAAAATGTAATTACATCCAGACCTTTCTGCATATGGTAGAGAAGATTATTAACACAAACCTGAGGAAATAAAGTGGGGAACTCTCCAATATGCCGAGCAAGATTTAGTGCAGCTGGTGAAGGAGGGCCATCAGCAGCTGTGATATTGTTGAAATAAAAGGCCGCCAAGCTATCAATGGCAGAGGCACACTGCCAAAAGGAAGCAACAATTTACAGATTAGTCCAAACAGAAAGCACTAAAGAACAATGATGGATTCCAATGTGATGAACATAGTTAAGGGCCCTTAGGCTTAATGAACCAAGCAGTGCTGAGGTAGCTGCATAAGGGAAGGAGATAAAAAAGAGACTAAAAGCTTGTGTGTATTGCTTCCTTAATAAACCTCTACAACCCAAACCTTTACGATATACCCCGTATCGAAGAACATGGAAATGATTAAACAGTAACCATAGGCAGATGTTGTTCCCATTACTATTCATGTGCACAGTACTGCAGGCCTAGAGAGGTTGACTGCTGCTTCTATGTGGGCCCTAACCAGGTTGCACATGACATCCAGATCCAAGAGAAGAAACTAAAAGGGAAACCACATAAAAGAGAATAGAGTATTATGATGGCATCAATTATTATCTACCAGCAACCACAGATTGGAAGTATGTCTTCCCCGATAGGACACAGTTTAAGCAGTGATTCACCGATGCTGTTGTAACAAGAAGCGGGGAACATTTTACAAGCAGTAAAAAGCATCATGTCGTATACCTGTGTTGATATCCCTGTATCTAGACCTTTTAAGCCAGATTCAAGAGTGCTGACAATATGCACGAAGGTGTTTGTATCCAAATTGAGAACAAAAGTGATATGGCTGCTGAACAGAACTTCAATATATCCATAGAATGCTTTTGACAGCTGAAATAAAGAAAGAGCCTAGTATGAATGCTTCCACGGATGAAACAAGAATATCTCAATCATCTGGTTAACCATAAATCAATGTGGGACAATGCAAGACCTGGAATGGTGTCTAGGCTGTTTATTTGTCTATGATCAAGCCAGTAAAAGCACAATTGTTGGAAAACATAGCACTAAACCTGTACGCATGTTACCAGTGGGCAAAAATTGCCAGGAGATCACCTAAATAAATAAACTAAGCTCGCATGCAGGGTACCTGCTGGTAAAATGCCAAGGAGACTACAAACAAAATGTTGAAAAAAAATATGCAAAGTTCAAACACAACTGGAGTACAGTTCTAGGGGTTGGAGAATGCTCTTAAAAAAATGTTTGAAAATGTCTGGCATAAAAATAAAAAATAACAGCAGCATCCCATGTTCCAAAGAAAAAGTTTCCTGATAGAACTCTGGAGCCCACTGTTGGCGGTACTCATTTCATGTTTTCTCCTGGTAATTTTACTGTGTATATTTTCAAATAAAAAAATGACAGCGCTGTTATGACAGAATATACAAATCTTTCTAGACAGGCTAAGATACTAGGATCTGATCAATTTGTATATTCTGTCATAACAGCGTTGTCTAACTGGACCAAGTGCGTAAATGCAGGGTTCTCAGTTAGATTAGAAGATTGGCACTAAAATCACTCAGTCCAGTTCCTGAGGCACAAGTAATTACCTCTGCTTAATTGATATACATAACATTCAATTCACTTTCATTGCGATATAATGAGAACTTTACATCTTCAATGCTATAAAACTTAGAATGAATATATTTGAGATCTTAATAACCATATTAATAAAAGCAATAGCACTACACAGCAAAACAATAGTAAATCACTAAAGTTGCAAGGAATACCTTTTTGAATGCCAATATGTCAGACAATGGAACTGAGAGGCTCATCTTTAAAGATATATCAAGGGCATCAGCAAGTGCTCTGTCACCATACAGCTCAAATACACCAAAATTGACATAGTTTCCACATAAAGCTGCAATGGTTCCAGTCAGAATAACAGCAAAAGAAAAAAAATACAAATCTTTAGTCTGCAATGGGAGATAAGGTTCCCAGAAGATACAGTTTAAGAACAAATAATTGGGCTCGGAGTTGAGTGGAACTCAGCCAATTTTATTCTTATAACATTAAAAGCACAACAAAAAGTTTGAATCAGAGATGGTGGAACTCAGCTGTCACCCTAACCGAAAACTCCAAGTAACATCTCATACCAAATTCAAGTAAATCAGTATCCTCTTGAATAAGGAGATCCATAGATCATACCACACATGAAACTGAAAAGGTATAGAAAGTCTGCCATATTTGCAACAGAATTTAACCATAGTTGCAGTTAAATTTCAGTTTAGCCAAAATCATCATAAACCCATTCTCAACTACTGCAAATCTTATGCAATTGAAATATTTATCATCTGCCAGGGCCTATGAGGCTACAATTCAACTCAAATATCACAAATCAGTAAGGAGTTAAATGATTAACAGAAATGAACAAGCTTTCACAGTCCAGGTAATATGGCCCATGGGGATAAGTTAATATTGTCTGTTGGAAAACAATGATCTCAATGGGGTGCAAAAACAAGGTTTTGGTCTTGAAATTTCGTAGAGACATGTTGGAATTCAAATAACATTTCACAGCAAAAGTGTAACCTAAAGCACACTTTTTCAAACAAAAAAATTGTGCAATGAGAGTCGCACATAAAATTGGAAAGGATGAAATCCACTAAAAAAATCAAGCATTAGAAAACAGTGAATAACAGCAGGTAGACTTTACTGAAACTGTAATAAAATTGCAGAGCATACAGGTGTTTTCAAAACATATTTTCTGAACTCACCTCTTGAAAGAACAGCAAGTGATATCCATATGCCTTTGTATTTACTTCCATAAATATCAGTGCCGTTTGGAAGCAACAGAATACGTGATCCATAAGCCACAATCAGCTTGCTAACCTCCTGGAATAAAAGGATCCCATTTGGTGATGATGAATCAAATGTCAATCTCTGAGCTTTGTTCAAAACAAACTCGCACATAAACTTGAGTAGGGGTGTGGTGACCTGCATGAACACAAAGTGGTGATTTTGCAGTAGCTGAGCAAAAGATTTAGAAGCATAAGGCTCTAGATATTTTCTAAAAACAGTTCAAACTTTTTCAAAAAGAACAGCTACGCAAGGAAAGCATTGCGATTTGGTAGTTACCTCCGGCTCATCAGCACAGAGTGAGATGGCTTTCAGTAAAAGTGGCATGCGAGATGGATATAGCCAGTCAAATAGGAGGCCATAGGTCCTGCGGCTGGATCAGATCAACAAAGTAGTTAGTGAGTTGATGCACATATATACCACATATAATCAAATTGTGCACCTGTTTGTGGCCATAGCAATGCCTCGTAAGTCTCTCATCAAACCAATAAATGCGTACTTCACAACATCAGTCCAGAAAGCAGCATCAGCGGTTGCCTCCAAATTAACTGCAACCTATGGAGAATACGAAGAAGAAAACCATATAAGAATGGAGAAAAAACTTAACTAGTACTTCCTACACCCCAAAATGTAGCTATTTCTACCTACGATCTGTACAGGTCCAGATATAGCTACATTCTGGGGCGGAGAGATTATGAATATAAGTAGCAATGCACTTGTAGGAGAGGCTCCATGAAACTCCTGAATTTTACTGGGGTGTCTTCCATGAAAACCAAGCAGCCAAGGATGTAGTAGAATGTTGTTCTACTGCGGGCACATCTGTATTCTTCAAGAAATGGAAAAGAATCCCTCTGAAAAGATTAATAATGAAAATAGAATCACTTCTAAGACCAGGAATGGCACAGGGATAACATGAAACAGAAGCTAGTGAGAAGACTGTACAGAATGATTTGCAATTATAAATTTTGTACTCTCCAGCTTGAGAAGCAGTTTTCCAGTCATATAGCTGCTACGAAAATACATATGAAGAATTGTTACCATAATAAGCATGAGACATGTAAAGTGAATACATATAGCTACAACTTTACCCAGATGCAAGTTCAAGGAAGAGGGACAGAGTATGATCAATAACATCCTCGCACTGTAACCACACAAAGGATCAGCCACAGCATATAGATCAAAGTATGCCTAAAATCAGTAAATGTCTAAACAATAGGTACCTCAGCATAGCACTTTAGATTAGTAGCTATTTTCCCAACAATGGCATTGAGTAAAACTAAATGGTCATTCAATCCAAGAAGCTCAGATAATCTTGCATACAACTGCTGCAGCAAAGAAGTAAAACTTGATGGGGATTTACATAAAAAGGTACATCAAGATAAAAAGAAAAATTATAATAGTTATGTCCTATTATTCGGTTTCTTCTAACCTTTGAAGAATGCATGGCTTGATCTCCTACATATGACCTTCTGAAATTTTGCACAAAGATAAGAATAGCACGACCAAGTCTTTGCTTACTTAATACTCGATATCTCTGCAAAGAATGCACCCAAGTCATCATTCACAAATTTGTGAAGCTGTGAATGGTTATAAGAGCAGCTAAAACAGGTTAATGAAAGTAAAGAACAAATTGGAGAGCATCCTGTGATACGTAGTGTCGCAATACAGAAACAGATTTGGTTTATGGGGACAGTATGTGGTTTACATGCTGCACATAATACAATATGAAATATAACTCTCTTAAAGTGGGCTGGTTACCAAAGGTTAAGTTCATAGGGGGACATTGTTTAGATATTTTCGTTAAATAAATTCAATTTCAGCCTATTTTTAAGTGCAAATTCACAGCTTCTATTGGTAGCATTCTCATGATAACTGTAAGAAACACCAAAACACCATCAACAACCACATGCGTTGCTGTGACTCCAAGCTTCACGACAAATAGAGAAACGAGTAATTGGTTATATATGTTACAGTATTGGCGATAAAAATAAAGTTGTAAGTTATTTGCATTACAGTACTAGAAAATATCTATGTTTGTCAAAAAACAAAATCAGTCCTACCTACATATGCAATTATATTCTATAATTTGCAGACAATACTAGAAAGGAAAATTGTTGTTGCTACAAGTACACTAGCTCAGCACTCAGCATTGATGTTAGATGACCAAATCATTTTCATCTAACCTGTGCGTGCACCCCCGTGTCAGTAACGTTTATCAACTGTAACACACGGGCTGCAAGTTCTGCATCAATTAACTCCTGTGATTCTTGGCTGCATGAAAAAATGAGCATTGTAGGTGAAAAAAAAAGGAAATCAAACAGAATATAAGGAAGCAAGGAATGTTAATTTCTCACCTACAACCAATGGTCTGCCTAATCTTGAGAATGGCTTCAATTATGTGGACTAGCCATGTGAGCTGTCCTTCAATGACAGAGAGCTCATTCGCATCTCCAGGAGCTGGTAATCTTGACCTTTCCTGTAAAAAGTATTTGGCTTTGAAAAGGCATTCTTTCTGCCCAAAAAAGAGGACTGTGAAATAACACTAACATACCGTATAAGCTTGTAGAAGAGGCTCCATAATATTTATGATGTAAATGCTACTGTTTTGGTACTGCAAATCAGCAAAAGAAAATCATGTTATGGCCATGTCATATAATGCAACTCCCTATCAAAAAAAAAAAGGCCTAAGAACAATAAGGGCATTTCATCTAGCTTCTTCGTACTATTGGTAACTGGCAAGGAGGTTAGTAGTGACTCAAAATAATTATATAAAAATTCCATCCGGACAAAAATAACAGATATATATAATGAAGTGGCGTAATAAATTAGCTGAAAACAGCAGAAATGGTAATAAGAGATCTTCATCTGTTTGAGAGGCACAATGTAGATAGCTAAACTCACATGTTGGCAAGCTAACATACATAATAAACATAGGATGTGTACACAACACTTGCGAAGGCTCAAAACTGCTAAGTTGCATGTCTATCCACAGTTGCCTTTATTCTTGACCATGTCAATCGGGAAGGGCTGACGACCACATGAAGTGCTTAGAAAATTTCAATCAGCCAGTTTGCCATAACAAAACAAATAGCTACTGTTATACTGGAACATGAGCATCTGATCACAGCCATTGACCCCCCCCCCCCCAACCGCCCAAAAAAGAAAAATGCAGAGAGAAACTGGTATCTTTCCTTTTGATCCATCCAATAGCATTTCTAAATTTGTCAAATTTTTTATCTTATTTACTATATTTTCTGCACCCGTCCAGAATATGAAGTTGAACAACTCAACAAAGCACTTAAGTTGGCCAAAAAATTACTCTGGTTATTCTTGTTTTAGAATCGTATAATTAAATACGATAAAAAATGAATAGCATAATGCAACTTAAATTTGATGCATCTACTGTTGTTGTATCATTCTATTAGTTCTCCATAACTTAAAGAAAGAAATTCTAGTGCCATATACAAGAAATTACTAAGTGCATGCAGTAAACTGCAAGTAGATAAAAGTAAAACCAATGTATATGTTCAATAAAAAAATCAATTACATAAAACTATGAATCCTGTTATGTGAAAAGCTGGAACAGGGTTAATCTCCATAAAAGAAAACATTCAATTGATTAAGCAAGGTATCTTATCTACAGGTGGACATGATTACAAAGATGGATCCAATCAAAAGTTTAACAGAAAATTGTCTCTTAAATTGGAAACCAGAACTTGACAGGAAATGGCGACCTGGAATCTACAAAGGTAAGGAAGAGACTCCAACTGCTCCTGAAGAACATCCACATTATCCAAAGTATCATCGGATGAGTCGTTTGCAAAGCTGGCCTGAGATGGATAGAAACAACAGAATATAACAAACGTTACTCTTCAACTGAGAATCTGAGATAGAAAGCAGTTCCATCATCTCATTAGAAATCAGTACCTGAACAGAATTAATTCTAGAGGTGATAAAACCCTCCGTGATTTTGGGAACAGTCTCATCAAGCATACTTGGTGTGTCACTTTTCAAGTAAGGAACAGATGTCACCAGCCTTGACCAAAGGCTCAAAAGATAGTAGACACTATTGCTGGCCCACTACAAATATTCAATAGTTAGAACTATTGGAAATTAATTATTGAATAATCCAGTGCTAAGAGAATTAGTCAAAAAAAAAAAAGGGAAACAGACCTGCCATGACAACAAGGATTTAGTTGTGAATTCTGCTACTAAACCAATCCATTCACCATAAAACTCAATACTCAGAAGCTCTGACAACTGCAAAGTACAACAATGCAAGAATCCACACTTGATCACAAAGAGGTCCATTCATAGCTTGAATATTACTATGATAATAACAGAGAACTTGATAAAGGATCATAAATGAGTGCAGCCAACACTATCTAATACACAGGTAACAATCAACCAACCAAATCATTTGGTAGTCAAAATGCCGGGAGTATTCCGAATGTCACAATGAAGATATGCCAACAGAAAACAAACATAATACAGTTCAATTTTATTTTCATGATCAACATAGACTAATTTACATAACTACGTTATTATCAAAGTTCTAAATAAGAAGGAATGGTCATTATGGCAAATTTTGAATGTGGTAAGAAAATATTGAACCATGCTTTTTATTTAGAACTTAACAAACAGTAAGTTAGTAATAGGCAATTGGGACAAGGAATGCATATAGAAAAATGGTAAAAGAAAGTTTGGAACAATGGCCATCTTCAGTTGACAACACTATTACACAGGTATTAAATGCTCCGTTGTTTATTGAAACTTTGAAAGCTAATAAATTGGTACCAAATGTCTGTAAGGCAAAAAATTAAAAGAAGATGCCAACAAAAATAGCACTTGCAAGTTGCAAACATTACCAAAAATACATAAAAACATCATAAACACAATAGTTCACTTCGTAGAATTATAATTATGATACAAATTAACTATTCCATCAACTGTTCACTACAACATGCACTGCATCATTACGATATGCTCTACATCAAAACCAATGCACTATAAAAATGCAATCCACTATTTAAAACCTTGAACTGCATATCAGTATGACTAGTTAGTGCTGCTAGTAAAGCCAAAAGACTAGAAGCTACAAACCATTGGATTTACTTATTACTGTTCCTTCAAAGCAATAGTACAAAAGTACAAATCAGGGTAAAATAACATCAGTAAGGCGTGTTTGGAATCCCACAAAATCCCCACCATCGCAATTCATTTCAGTCAGGATACCAACCAGAATTAATGCATCACTACTGTTGCCAACTAATTCATCAGTTGTTACGTACCAAAAACTAGCAAGTCAATAATTCTGTAAAAGAATGCAAAGAGAGAGAACGAAGAGCAAATCCTTGACACAAAACAAACAAGAAAAGTTAGCTTCATCCTTCATTTTAAGTAACAGGATTCCAACCTGGAAATTCACTTTGAACCGTCCAAGAAGACGGCAGAACTCGTGGTAATTTCCATGATCAGCAAGACCTGCAGATGAGCAGATCACACATCAGAATAAATTACGTAAAGATATGGAGCATTTATTTTTGTTCCTGCATGGAGCTAATTTGACAGACAAGTACCTAAGTTTAAAGATTACTATTGCATTTATAATGAACCAATGTGTGCTTTTACTTATAAAAAGCAAGTCTGGTTTCTACAGTGCACCACATAGCGTGACTAGGCATGAGTCAATCAACTCATGTTTTAAATGCTTCTTCACTTTACATAAAAGAGGCTTTTCACTCCATGTAAGAGGATTGCAATTGAAACCGCTGGTCCAAGTAACTGAAATTTGTAACAGGAGTACTACAATAGAACAGAACTTGGCAAAAAAAGGACAAAGCGTTATACCTTGGCCAGTTTGGAGTATCTCCTTTGTGCCTGACATCAGATGAGAAAGAAACTGGGTCCTTGAAGGGTCCTCAACAAAAATACTGCGCCTGACAGAAGCAAGTCTCACAAGACATTCCAAAGCCTGCAGAAATGACATAAAGAAGTGCATAGGAGAGGGAGGCGGGGAAGAGTCAAGGAAAGAGCAAATCCACTGAACATGGCACATTACTCATATAGAAAGAAAAACGAAACAGCTGTTTGTAAGATAAATTCACAAGGAAAATATTTCTTCTTAGAGATTCTTGAAAGGAATAAAGCATGCCTCTTAGAGATCCATACATTAGGAGAATATTGCTGCTTCACAGAGGTGAGGAAGTCATGCTTTTAAAAGACAACATTGGAAAAATATTGCTGCTGAATGGAAGTCAATCAAAATATTGCAGAACTGTAGTGATAGCTAACTAGCAATAAGTTTGTAAAATGTATTAATGAAAAATCATGCGATCAAAGTGTACATTCTAAACATGAGGAACTATGAAGCAAAATATACCTCTTTTGTGTTTATGGAGTAATGGACAAAGCACTCGGTAAAAATAATCAGAGATTATATCATCTATATTATTCAAATCACCCAATCAATGTATACCTCTTTTGAAACACATGTATCGTTGACTTTATAGTAATCGAAGAAGATCTGAACAGTAGAAGGATCTTGAAGGAGAGGCCTCCAAGATGCAGGAAGCTGCATCAATAAAAATTACACAAATTATAAGAAATAGACCAACTGGGATAGGTCAATGGTTTTACAGAGAAGATAACAATTGTGCAAACTAACATACCTGCACTGTACCAAATTCCTCAGAGCTTTCATCCACAGGACAACCAACAAAGTCAAATGACAAGCACCTTAATGCAAGCGAGAGGGGATCACGCCTAAAGTCATCAGGTACTGCAGTTTAATTACAGATTGTATCAGAAGATGGAAGTGAGAAAGTGTGGGCATTCCGATACACTCTACTTTTTACAAAATGTGGTCCTTGAACTTTACCTTCACTCTTCAGTTGGTGTAATGAGGTTAAAGAAATTTGGAAGATCTGTAGAAGAAACTGGTCCTTGAACGAACAAGCAATTTTTCTGTGAAGTGTCAAAGGCATAGCGTTTGCCTGCATGCATACACAGACACAAAAAGTCAGCTAAACACATTACAGTCCACCTGACAAAGGAAATTGAACAAGAGTGGATAAAAATGGGCACAGCAGTATAAACTATATTGAAAAGATATAAGCAACAACATAAGTACATAACCCAATCAGAATTGAAGATATTAACGAACACTATATAATTCATAAGCAGAAGACAGCATGCAAAAAGTATGAAGCCAAGTACATACTGAGAAAGCTTAATGGTCCAAATCAACTATTCATTGAAAGAATTGTTACCGGAAAAAAAGAGAAACAGTTCATAGAAGATATTTGTAGAACTAGAACCCTTTCTTGTACTAAGCAAGCAATCTGTGTTATTTCATGTTAAATAAAATGAAACTCAACATTACAAGAAATACAGTGACACACAATCATATTCAAGAAACTATACCAGAAAAAGTTAAGACAAAGAAGGAAGGCATAAAAAGAAGTGACAGGCTAACAGAAAGGTGGGACAGTAAAAAGGCTGAAATGTGCATCACAGCTCCAAGCAGGTAAAAAGGAATGCTACCAACACTACCCCAACACAATTTAGTAAGGTGCCACATACTCCCTCCATCTCAAAATATTTGACGCCGTTGACTTTTTTAAAAATGTTTGACCGTTCGTCTTATTCAAAAAATTTAAGTAACTATTAATTCTTTTCCTATCATTTGATTTATTGTTAAATATACTTTTATGTATACATATAGTTTTACACATTTCACAAAAGTTTTTAAATAAGACGAACGGTCAAACATGTCTAAAAAAGTCAACGGCGTCAAACATTTAGGGAAGGAAGGAGTATCATATTGCCGCCAATACTCTTTAAAATAAATGGAAATTAATACAGTAACCATCAGTGTCAATGTTTAACTTTGTCTTGTTAACATTGGTTGGATTAACCATTAATATTTTTTCAATAATACTATGCCTATATATGTCTATCTGCATGTTTATAACTCTTTGTTAAGTGTCGCAAAGGAAAATAAAGAACAACTTTTACTTATGATATTAATTGATTCATGCACAAGTTAGTGCATATGTAGTGTTTCATGTACGTTTGACCTTCTGTGTTTCATCCGATGTTTTATAAGTGCCAACAACACCATGCACGTTGTGCAGTTCTAAACACAAAAAAAATACTGTTGAAATATTTTTTTTTCAACTTTTAAATTAATCTACGTATTGCCAAATTGCATTATCTTATGGGTACCCTTATCTTATTGATTAGAATCAATAGTTATTGAACAATTATAATAATAGAGAAGTTTCTAGGTGGCACCTGGTTCATTTCTCCTACAAGATGATATAGTATCTTCAATCCTATGAAATAATGATCCTGGGATGCCTGAAATGAAAAGCATAAGCAGCAACTTTAGTATGCATCAATTAACTCGCAATAGAGCATGGAATAAAACCTATAACTGTTCCTCATATGGATTCTTTAATAGAAATCAGGTTCTTATGTAGATTTATCTGGTAGGCCGGTTATCCTTTTTCATATTACTTAGTTCTAAAGAACGGGCATTGGTCATAGAAATTGCCAAGGATTTATGTACCAAGGTGTATAGCTCCACTCAAATCGAAGGTACATAGTCCTTAAATATGTTATCAACGGTTAAAAAGCTCTCAACTAAATGCCAACAAAACAGACAACAAACTTACAAGAGATAAGAAATCAGCTGCCTCCTTGACAATATCTCTGAATTTATCATCATCGAACCATCCAAATTTTGTAATTCGACAGACAAGCTGAATTAGGGATTTAATCACAAACGTCTGCAGTTTAGGTCCCCTCATAGCAAGATAGTTTATGACATAATTCACTTCAAACAGATCACAATATATTGGTTTAAAATTAGCAGTAGACAAGGGCACAAAAGTACACAAAATAGATTTAAGCATTGTTTATAGACATGTATTTTTGCAATTTATCTACATTACCGATGCATAAAACAACAGTGGGTAAATGGAAATAAATATTTGGCCATTCTAACATGCTGCAGAGGCATAAATGAATTCAAGGATAGAATGCAAAGAATAAATATTTGTTTGTTCAACTCGAGCCATATTAAATAAGCATAAGACATCAAAGGCAACAGAAATAAGTTGAGTCAAGGAAGGAACAACAAAGATTTAAATATGGCCACTTATACTAAATAGCAGTACAAACGAGTGCTTACTGCTTTCTGTGGTAACTTGCAATGCAGAAATAATCATAACTGAATAAATTGGTAGAGACGTAAATGAAAACATGCCATGCAGATGCAATAGAAAAGCAAAAACAGGTGAACAACTGATTTCATGATAAATTTTTGGTAAGGAACATTACAGATATCAAGACGCAATTGCAATGAAAGACTGCGGTCGTTGACTTGGTTCAACAAGCTTGAACTGGCCAGCATCAGGGCATATGGTGTTGAGGCATTGTCCAATATATATTGGCACTGTGAAATGTAGTCACTGTTCTCCGAGAAGCACTTGAGGGTGCTTTCTGCATGTGCTCGCTCAGCGGAGTCTCTAGAATTGTAAAGCTTTTCACATAACAGCTCTAACTGTGCTAGGCTCTCCATTGATGACATGAATAAGGAGCTCCAATTTTCCAGTAGACCAAGTATCCAATGTTAATATCCACGAATTTGCATGAATGTTTGTCACAAGCTTAGAGTTAATGCACTAGGTATTCGGTTCAACAGGAAACTTGAAAAGTACCACAAGAGCTTTGAAGCTGAAATATATGATTCTAGCACAGGAGAAGGATAGTCACAAACTCAATACATTCATATTACAAGAGAAATGTTTCAACAAAAGAGTTTTCTCATGTACAGTCTTTTCAATGACGCGTAATCAAAGATGAAGACCAAAGACACAAGAGAAAACAGCTAACAAGCTTATATCGCCAATACCAGCCACAACTCAGCCTGGGTAGAGTTATCTGCAAGAGTGGAAATGCCAAACTCAGTGACAGCTAAAGCAGCACAATGGCAGAATAATCATCTAAGAAGAACTTTTTGTTGGAATTGACTAAGCATTTCTAGTTCATAACACGCTTAAATGAGCACTAACACAAACATATGCAACAGTTACAGCACAGGTAACGGAAGCATTCGAGAGTAACAAAAAGCTTCGTGCTACATTTGGTAAGCTGTTTCATACTAAAGCGCGCGCAAACATGCACCTATATTACATCTGGGCCGGAAGTGTAGCACGCGAAGACAAGATGAAAAAGGACAATCATGTAAGAAGAAAATACATGCCACATTTGTCACGCAATCCTACCGCAAAAACAACATAAACATGCTATCCGCATGCATGCACATCAGCAGAAGCATCACACGGAGTTCCAAACCCCTAATCACCAATCCGATTGCGCAGCAAAAGCATCCGTACAGCGAAATCGCCCTATCGCAACCACCCCTCCAAGGATGTAGGCACGCAAACGCACATCAGGCAGCAAGCACAAGATCCAACAACAACCCGCGAACCAAACCAAGCTACCGTCTACCCACCACCAAAGCGCCCCACAAACCAAACCCAACACCGTCGAGAGATCCGACGAGCAGAGCGCCACCGCAAGATCCCCCTAACCCCCCCCCCCCCACCCCACACACACACACACACACCATCCACGAGCAACCAATCCACGACAATTCCACGGTATTCCGATCCTAAAACCCCCACAGCGAAGGCGCCCGGAGCCCCCGCCCGGGGCCCGATCAACGCCGCCCGCCGGCGAATCGCCAGCGGCAACCAACGCCCGGAACGGATGACGGCGTCGGCCTCCCCCACCCCAAACCTTCCCGAAGGGAGCGATCGGGAGGGGGGGAGGAGGCCAGCCCAAGTATACCTTGGTTGTCTCCCCCGCGCGCGCCCACCGGAATCGGGAGGGGGTGTGTGTGCGCGACGGGGGGAGGGCTCACTTTCCGGCGGAGGCGGCGGCGGCGGCGGCGGCTAGGTCTAAGGCGAGAGGATCGGAGGCGTGCGCTTGGGAGGTCGGGGTGGGTCTGCATCGTCTGCCTAACTGCCTTTGAGGCTAAAGGCAAATTTTACCGTTGGCTTCATCTGGTCTATCCGTTGCATCTATACGTCATCAACTTTTGTTTATCTGTTTTCATCCGCATTGTCTTTATTTTTTTACATTTTCTGTAATTACCCTTCCTATAGCTAACCATTATCTATCCTGAAAACATGGATTGATCTGCAAAATAGATAATGTCCCAACACTTGTCTAATCAAATATTAAAAAAATTTAGAATCCCTAGATTATTGATAGATGTAAAATATATATATATATATATATATATATATATATATATATAATTTGAACTGTGAAGTGAAGATGATGTTGGTAGATATATCGTCAAAACATTGTCTTATGGTTTTAAATTTTCGTAACAGTTAGTTAGAAAGGGTAATTATAAAAAATGAGACATTCAAAATTATGTCACCGGTGTTCAAGAGATCGATTAGCTTACAAAATATAGGTAGTAATAATTAGCAGTACATTTTATTGTACAAGAAGAGCTATTTGTTTATGTCAATAATTAAAGAACAAACTGGCACATTTAGTTCACTACGTGATTCTCCGCGCTTTGTTGTAGAAATTACTATGTGACTTTTAAAAAAATTAATAATCGAGCTAAAAGTAAAAAATTATATTAGTTCTTAATAACAAATAAAACTAATTTGTCAAACTATATTAATATTAAGAGAGATAAATTTAGTAGGCTCAGTATAAGATTATAGATGAAATATGATATCACGCACTTTGATTATATGGATAAATATATGTTAAATATTACAAAAATGATGGATATATATGTGTGTGTGTTAAATATTGTGAAAAATAATGTGAAGGAAGATGATTGGATGTTGATTTGTAGAATTCAATGAATTATAAATGATGTTGTATACTTGCATAAGTTTTGTATTTAATTATTGCTAATGGATGATGAGGTGGCATGTCTGCATATTGAGTTTTAGAATTAGTGGGCTATAGCTTTATAACTTTATAGTAAGATAGGACTAGCTATACTCCCTCTTTTAAGGAAAATTAAACTCGGTAACTTTAAGGAAAATTAAACTCGGTAACTTTTGACTGATAATTATTACTATATCTAGACAAAACATTATGCATGTTATATCACTGTATTCATATTTTTAATATACTTTTATGTGATGCTAATTTCATATTTATTGGGATCAGAATAAAATAAAATACCGATCAAAATATATTATTGAAGACCGTGTAAAAAAATATATAGGAGATAATTTGGGAGAGAGGGAGTACTATCAATCAATCGGTCGTTAAGCGATTTAGCAGAGCTAATTATGATGAGTTAATTAGTTGTTAATTAGTTCTTGAAGTGGACCAAGCCATGCAGCGCTTTGATGAACAACGGACAGACCCGATGAAACCAACGGCTTTGGTTCCTTTTTTTCTCCAACAAGAATTGGATGAAGATTAAAATTTTTGTGGCACGCTTTTTAAACTGCTAAGCGGTACGTTTCGTGCGAAAACTTTGTATACGAAAGTTGCTCTAAAATATCATATTAATCTATTTTTCAAGTTTGTAATAATTAAAACTCAATCAATCATACGTTAATACCACCTCGTTTTGCGTAAAAAACTTAATCTTCATTTTCATCTTCATCTTTAAAAGAAAAAGAACACCACCAAAGTTTGCCTTTGAGGAGGAGGAAGGCATGACGGCGGATGGGGAAGGGGCGATGCGGGAGGGGAGCTCCTCGGCAAGGGCATCGGCGAGTAGGGCGCGTATCCGCTCCGCACGAGCACGAGTGGGGCGATAGCCATGGAGCCCGAGCCCGAGCTGCACCGCGTCGACGGTCGTCTCATTCCCCCCGCTGTCATGGTTACAGATAAGGCATATATCTGTTGATGCGAAAAACACACACTGGCATATATCTGTTTAGCTCCAGTGCAGGTCCAAAGGTTGGTGGGATGCGAGTGTGCCAGTCAGTTTCATCCTGCAACTGACAAAATATGTAAACAACAGATCAAACAGCCGATCGGCTGACAAGCCGATGGAGTAATCCCAGCCGATGCCGATATCAGCCGATGTCGATAGGGTTTTGAGCTATCGGCTATATGTTCAATGTAGATGATGATATGAAGGCAATCGGCTGATATAATAAAATATAACAATATAATCCAGTAGAAACCAATTGGCTAATAATGATATGATAGATAAGCATCGATCCGAAGATTAAAGCATACATCGGTTGGAGGTCTGATGTCATAAAATCCACAAGATTAGATAGATCAATGAAACCTTTGTTGCGATCGGCTAAATCCAACTTATATGTATATGCAATCCTTATAAGCCGATGCAATGTCCAGATAACTTATCGGCTAGCAACCTGATAAAACATTAGCATGAACCTATCGGCTTAACAAGATTTATATTATCAACAATAATCTAGTAGGTCGGACCTAACCGATGCAGCACGACATTATATGTGGTAATCTAATACTTGATGAGCCGATAGATCTGTCTAATGTGATGGATATAACAAATCTATTTATAACAGCATTGTGATTGTAGAAATATATCAGCTAAGATAGAAGATCAGACCTAACCAAGACAGTTCCAACTAAACCGATGCGTCTCTAAACACAATGCAATTAGAGATAGCACTAAGATATCAGGTAGGCAAATATATCAACCAAACTAGAGTGATCCAAAAGATCGAAGCGATGCAGCCTTGAACAACACCAATACAGCCGACAGATTCACCAGGGTCGGCGGAACGTAGGACTTACCCCTTCGCCGGAGAACGAACTGAACCGATGCAGCCCCGCATCAGGTGCCAAATTCCACCGGATGGTAAGTAAAAACCACGGTAAAGAGGGTGGCGATGCGCCGAGTAGTTGTATTGATCGAGAGATTCTTACAATGACCCTGGGTGTACATATTTATACCCATGGGTAGATACTAGTCCTTAACAAGAAAGAAACTTTCCTAAAGATAAAAGGAAAACATAAAGTTCTTATTGGACACTAAACACACTTTCCCAAAGATAAAAGGAAACTAACAAACTATTCCTAATTAATAGATAACTTGTCATGCTGTATCCTCCTTGAACTCGGTCACTTCTAGATAAGTTTCCTTTAATAGATTAATTTTCTTAACCGAATATAGTAAGAATTCGACAACTGGCGACTTGATAACTCTCATCGGCCGATCCTAGGACTCTGAAGCTGACACTGACTCCAGGTCTATGGTGACTTCGGGCTTTACAAAATTTTGGTGTTAACAACCTCCTATCCTACGACTTATGAAATATACGGATATGGCATACCTTCACGTACACAGATTGTTCCCGTGTACGCCGTAGGAATCTGTTACAAATTATGGAAAATATCTCTACGAATCAAGCGATTTCCAAAGTCCTGCTCGGAGGGGATAGAGTTTTTGTTATATTATACAAGATCCGATGTCTCCGAGTCTTACTTGGAGATCAAGATGATCCACGGTATAACAAGGACCCCTAGGGAGGGGTGGAAGGCATCGAATCTCATCGCCAACACACCCACCATAGCTTATGAAGCTGGAGTACACGAAGTCAAGTCGCCGGGAGATCTCGTCGAATACCACGACTACGATCTTATCGGTATCATTGATTTCGTCTACTTCTATTGTAATATGTGGTTTTCCATCATCAATCCTATATAAACTGGAGTAGGGCTATTACCTGATAAGGAGCCTGAACCAGTATAATCTCTGTCTTCTATTTGCTTGATATCGTATTACATAGATCCTCGTTCCAACGTACCCCAATACCCTAATCATCCGCTTTACGAGTATCACTCCAAAGCCTAGCCGCCACCAACTACTACTCCAGCCGAGCAAGTCAACGTCCTTCAAGCGCTCCTTTGCTCGCCCGCCTGTCCACCGAGGAGGACGCGGACGAGCAAACGCCCGCCCATCGGAGTAGGTCGCTACGCCAGAGTTCCTTCGTGGGCTGCCGAAGTAGCTATTCCCGAGCCTTCCCGCATGGATCTGTCGAGGCCATCCCTCTAGAGTTCCGTCACCTGCTCAAGCTCCATCGTCGGCCAGATTCGAGACCTAACAACGTCACCCTCATGTCGTCCAGTGTTCGCTGGTCCTTCTCGCGTCGTTGGCGTCGTCCGGTCGTCCTCCATGCGTCGCCGCCACTGCCGTCCACTCTCCATCCTCAAGCCGCTGGTGGGAGCCCATCCGTCCTGCTCGCGTCATCGCCGTAGTCCACTTGCCATCCTCGCGCCGCCGTTGCTTGCTTGTCCTCCTCGCATCACATCCTCTGCTCGTCCTCAGCGAGTGGGCGGGCGCAGGAGCGCCTGAAGGGAGGCTAGAGGTCGGAGGAGGAGGAGGAGCTCCAGTGGAGGCCTGGGCTTCACTAGGCATGAGAGGGGAGAAAGTGAAAGGAAGAAAAGGAAAGAGGAAGAAGCAAATGGGAACAAAAAAGAAGAGATGGATGGAAAACGTGACGGCAGTGGCACGGTTTCAATTTTGTAAAATTTTAGTGACACGACTACGAATAGACGAAATGTAGTGGTATTTTTCTAAATTGACATATTTGTAATGGCATGGATCTAATTAACCCTAACTTTTATTACCACTTTATTCTTTCACTCATCACTTTTTGTCCAATCACATAATATCCTTTTATTATATAGTAAAATCCCTTATATTCACGGATAGAGGGAGCATAGATTAACGTAGAAGCAGTTTCACCCGAATAGTAATAATATTGTTGTGAATTGTACGGATTCAACTAGAAAAAAGAAACTGGTGGTCAGATTAAATTGAAGATAATCTTGCTCCTCTGGAACTGGTGGGATAACCGAAATAAGATAAATGTGGGTGAACAAGCTAGAACCCCCAGGGGTGGAGCTACATTGAGAATGGGGTTCCTAGGCACTCGGTTCCAAAGATCATTTTATCTATAGTAATCCTATGTTTATCAATCCCCTCAGTTCAGTTAAGTGTACCCTCAACACAGCAGGCAAAGCAGGCTGTGTACATTCTTTGAGTGTAGAAGCTGGTTTAATCCATTATCTAAAAAAACACAGCGGGCAAAGCAAGAAGACAATAGAGACTGCATACTTGCAGCCTTGTGCTGTAGAATGATACTAATACTTGCTAATGCATGCACACCATAAATCAATAATAGCCAATGCATGTAGCCCAGCGCTTGCCTCTTTCAACTTTTCTTAATTAATCACTTCAAAATCAAATCAAATAAACAGAATGCCCTTGTTATTTTCTATGGCCAGAGAAGAGCAACACTGGCAGTCATGCTGTCAAAAGCTGGTCACCAGCTCTGGAGGGAAATCTGAAGCTCAACTTTGATGGTTCCTACCTGGAAGCAACCAAAGATGGAGGATGGGGTTTTGTGGTACGTGATCATAGTGGATGCTGTATACTTGCTAGGGTTTACAAAACCGCGTGGTAACCATGCGGTTATCACGGTTACCATAGACGGTAACTATTTCAGTTTTTGAAATTATGGTTTGTCTCGTGGTTACCACGCGGTTTTCGCGGTAACCGCGGGGGTGCGGTAACCACGCCAAAAACGGTAAGGTGAACCTTGATACTTGCTGGAGCTGGACGAATGCTGCACTGCGAGCCCTTGTAGTGCAGTGAATAGTTGATATTGGAATCGAATCTGATTCGGCAATGCTAGTAGCGGCGCTAAAAACGCAGGACTATGAGCCAGCTGCGAGCAATCCTATTTTCCGAGTAATAAAGCTCCTCATCCAATTAGGACATGTTCAGATTGTAGCTAAAATGAACCTTACCAAATTTTGGCAATACCAAAATTTTGTCAATTTGGCAATATTGCTAAGTTTTGGCAGAATTTTTTATGTATTTACCAGAGTTTGTTTAAAAACTAAATAGATGCACATATTTGACAATTTTACTAAAATTTGATAAAATTTATTTTGCCTATAATATAAACAGGCCCTTAGAGTTTGTCAAGGCTGATATTTCTTTTATTCCAAGATCTTGTAATGTGTGTGGTCATAATTTAGCTCAATCTGCTGTTTGGTTCATTGGTTGGACCCCTCCCAGAGTTTGTAAGCGACTGGGTGGCTCGTGATATCGCTGAGCACACGGTTTAAAGGTCAAAAAAAAAAGAAAAAGAAAAAAAAAAGAAACGCCTACGACTAGCCCAAACGCACCGACCTGTCCTCCGACCAGAATTCCGATCGCCACCCCGCGGTTCTGCTCTCGCCGGCCGAACAACGCGTGCTCACGCTCGCCGCCGCCGGTCGCCGCCTCCAAATCGTCGCCAGAGAATCCGCGTCCTCCCCAGATGACGCTGCGCACGGGAGAAGCAACGCCGCCTCCCCAGGCGCATGCCGAGGAGGAGCCGGGGCGGGGGAAGCGCCGGCGCGTCGTCGCCCGTGAGACGAGGCTGCAGCAGGAGGAGGAGGAGGAGGAGGGCGCCTCATCCGAGCCGGAGACCAGACCGCGCCCTCCCCCCGCCACCCCCGCCACTGCAGAGGAGCCCGCCGCCACCGCCGCTGGGGCGGAGGCCAGGGCTCAGCTGGCCATAAACATTCGCCGTATGCTTGCTGTCGAGGCAGAGAGAAGGGGCCGAATCGCTGAACGAAGTATGTATGACATCTCTGCCTATCCTGCTCTACTTTTAAATGTTATTAGGATTTGTCGTCGAACTCCAGATATATAGTCATCACTAAAAACTGTGATAAAATGCCCAAGAAATTTGGATTTTGATGAACAAAGCCTATAGGGAAATCATTGCTTGCACAAATACCGGGGCATATGAATGTGCCTTGTCAAATTAATTTACTCTTCATATAATGGAGTATCGGCTAGACAGATTAACCAGCTTGCTCCTCTTATTGTTCTATATGTTCTCTAATTCAGGATTTTCAGCTTATCGATGAATATATTGCTAGGATTTTCTTGCTTATATGCTAGACATGGAAGATCATTTCTGTATGTATTACTTGCAGTGCCTTTGAAGCTTTTCATGATTTCAAGTACCATGGAAGCATATGCATATTTTTATGTATAGAGGGAGGCACAATTGAACTCATGTTTCTACTGGAATGCAATTTGTGCATGAAAATTATATGCAAGTAAAGCTATTGATATTCTAATTCTGTCTGAGTAACTAACGGTAATAATGTTTTATTCTAGTTGGAGTTCAGGCTGAGGGTCCAATTCTCACTCTGGAGGATACATTTTGTGATATTGATGATGGTAGTGCTAAAAGCCAAGTTGCTCGAAAGGTTGCTTTGGGTGTTTCACAGTCAATTGTCAGTTTATCTTCCTTTGCAGGTATTTTTGTTTCTAGAAACAAACCTCTTCATAACATACATCTTAGACCTCCACTAACTTTGTTATGTAATTCAGGTCGAAAAAGGATACGGGTTTGCTCAGGATTTGTGATACGGTGGAACGATAGTACCAGCATTGGTACAATATTAACCTCAGCAGCACTTGTTAGACCTCCATGCGGAGATGATGTCAGGGTAAGTAATAAGTTTCTTTTTTTCTATTTTTTTTGTGGGGAGGGGGTGTAAATTTCACAAAATACCAGGTTTGGGGGCACTGGTAACATATAACCACCACATATTTTGAGGCAGTCTTTCACAAAATCACAGAACCCAGCTCAATCGTTGCAACCTCCTGCCATGAACCATGCATATCCTTACCGTGTAATCAAGCAGTAGCAAAAGCAATTGAACCATCTCAAACTGGACTACCATTTTCCTTTGGAATAACAGATGTTAAAACCAATTGAATTATGCAGTCCTCCGGCCTGGCAGAGGCATTGTTCTTAACATCCCCGAGTCCACACTCCCAAGAGTCTTGAAAAGCATTAACCATCATCGGACAGGAAAGATCATCAACAAAGCAAACAAGCAGAGCTTGAGCTTGTGCTGGTGGTTTAGGGGAAGAAGTTGTCAACCAACAGGCAGTACAACACTGCGGCGGCAAGGCTGAGCCACAGCAATCGTCGTTGATAGCAAATGGCACTGCGGTGGGAGGTGTGGAGTGGTGGCCAGCCAGGTGGTTCCTTTCCAGAGATTGCCAGGCTGGCTATTGAGGTGGCACCTGCAGGTGGGCCTAATATGTTGCAACAGCTGACTAGGATGGACCCTGGGTTTTGTGAAACAACCGCCACAAAACATGTGGTTTAGTGATAAAAATCACAAAATTGCACTATTTTCTTGTTACCAATGGGCCCCAGACATGGCGTTTATGAAATTTACTCTTCCTTTTTTGTTGAAATATGTTACCACCCACAATTTATTTTTGTCCTGATTTTTTATTACTTACTTAGGTGGAGGTCTTTCTACCTAGTGGGGATATATCTATTTGCCAGATTTCCATGGTAGATTTCCATCATAACATAGCCTTAGTTGAAGTCACATCCAATTTCAAGCTTCAAGAGGCTGTTATCCTTAAATATATTATCGACAAGGGAGATGTTTTAGCCCTTGGCCGTTCTTATGAAGGTGGTCTTCTGATGTGCTCAAGGGGAGAAATAAGCAACAGAGCCAGCATATTTGAGTGTTCAGAACTGTTAGTATCAAGTTGCGAGATAACAATGGTAAATAATATCTGAACACAATTTGCTCTTTGTTGCCGATATGATACATGCCTTTTTTTCCTTGCTTAATTCATTAGTTGGTTATGCAAACTACTGATTCAAATTAACTGAGACTCTTTTAATTCCTTCTCTGTTCAGATTTTACTACTAAAGCACACACAATCTTCACACAACTCATGTATGCAAACTTGAATGAACATCAGAATATGCATAGGGCATCCAAAAACTACCTGAACTAATTTAATCACATATAGAAGAGCCAAACAGAAATTGTCAGCTGTTTCTGTGGTTTTATTCTGTGAAATAGTTTTTGTTCTCAATTTATAGATTCTGTCAATACTGAGATGATGTTATATGCTTCTCTGTGTCTTTCAGTACTGAACAATTCAGGTTTCATTTTTGCTGATGTGTCCATCATAGAGCAGGTTGGTCTATGTGAATGTTTAATTATCGTCTTCTTTTAAGTAGTTGAAACACTTGGAACTTGAAGCATCGTCCATCACATCAATCTGTGTGAATAGTTTCTAAGCATGATTGACCTGTGTCTCTTAAGATCATTTTACCAGCAGTTACTAGTGTGATGTTTGTTTTGAGGAATCAAATCATTTCTGTGCTGGTGGATGAGATTGCTTGATCATAGGATGATCCCATGATTTTGGTGGGACAACCCACCAATTCATTGTTTTTCACATCTGGTTTTGAGGCATGTTTGGTGATTGACCCATGGCATTTCCAAGACCAAACAACTCGTTAAGTAGAGAGTAGGATTGAGTGGATCCTTTGACATCTTTTTTTTAAAAAACCAAACATCCTATAGCTAGATTGTTCCATAGATGAATATCATTTTGTCAAAGGTTTCTGTATGCAATGTTTTTCTTTTTTCAAAGGTAGCTAGAATTCACTATTCTCTAGTTAACTTGCTAGAGAATCTCACTCTTGCCGGATGCACCAGTGTTTTTCCATGTGAGCATCATCCAACAGTGTGATCTAGTTTCTGTACTGTTCTTTTCCTCTTGTTCAAATTGAATACCTATTCTCCATTCAGACAGGATAATTTTGTTGTTGCTTTGTCAAAGCTTGTTTTGTTTTTCTTTGGACACTAAGAATTAATACTGAATTGATCTACTGAAGCAAACTCAGCTACTGAGATTAGTTGATAATTAGGGCCAGGGTAACACAACTTTATTAACTGAGCAAATTGTGTGAACACTTAATATTTCGTGGAGGTGCAATCCATATTTTTGTTTAAAATGTTTCTTTTGTTGACCTCCTCTACTCTGCGTGTTTTTGCATGTTCTTTGATGCATTTTACATGGACTTTTCCCTTTTTTACCTCTTGCTATTCGTGTACATATCTTGACAATTTATTGTGATTCCTTTTTTCTAGGCTGGCACCGGGGGACCCCTTGTAAATTATAATGGCCATGTTGTAGGTATTAACTTCTTTGAAGAGAACCAAACGCCATTTCTTTCGATGGCAATTGTTTTCAAATGCTTGGAACATCACCAGATATTTGGGTAGGTCCAGTCCTTATGGTGATTGGTGATGAATATTTTATCCTGATATTATTTTTACTTTATTACCTGTGAAGGTCAAAAACTTGATTGTTAATTTCTATACATTATTATACAATTGCCTAGTTTATGTTTACTGCTGCATTATAGTAATATTCTTCTTTACTTTTTACAGAAGAATAATTCGACCTTGGATTGGATTCTGGTTCACCTCTATTCAAATGGTTCCGCTTAGTCATCTAGAGCACATATACAGAAAATTCTCGGATGTTGATAATGGCCTATATATTTCAAATGTGTGAACCTCCTCTATCCTATGTTTATTTTTGCGATACTTTGCCCTAGATTTGTGGACTTCCAGAATAGGTATTTAAAATTTATATATTGTCATTCCTTGTAAATTATGTTTAGAGGCTCATTAACATTTGGATGAGAACTCTATAACATTTGTTTATACTTTGGGTACCAAAAACTTAGATTTTTAACAAGCTTCTTAACATGTTGTGTCTGCTATTTTTTTCAATGTAGTAACTGTATACAACTTTACATATCCATTCTAGCTTATATTCAAGTGCATTTTTTAATACATGCTGCTAATTCGTCAACTTTTTCTCCTAATTATTACTTTTAACATTATCTAAATTTTATGGTCTTCAGAATGTTTATAGCAGTGTTATTCTTTTAGCTATAGTTGCCATCTTAATGTTTCTCTGCTCAATGTATATACGAGATGAACTGAATAAAAAAATGACAATTAGGTGGCTGAGGGATCACCCGCTGATATTGCTGGAATATGTCAGGGTGATATTCTCATGAAATGTGGTGGGAAATTCCTCTCTACTGCCCCTGAGGTGACAATTTGTTTTAATAATTTCCAGAGTCAGCTACTGCTTTTTTTGTTTATATATGTTGTGAACTTTTGATTAGAATCATGCTTTTGTTTATAACCATATTTGTAATGGCACCAGTTCGGTGCAATGTTGATGGATAAATGCAAGGAAACTATGGAAGAGTATGACCAAGAAACCAATGGTGATTTTTCAGCGAAAAGGATAACAGTTGAGGTAGCTCATGATGTCATATTGTTCTACATGTTAGAATTATCTGTCATATGTTGTGCTTGTTAATAATCAGTAAACTTGTTTTCACAATTATGGAAATTTCTACTAGATTGTTATAAAGCGAGAAAATGATGGAAGCACTATAGAGAAAACTATATCTGCTGGTTTGATAGAAGAGTTTAACTATAACAGGTGACTTCCTTTTTCTTTACTCCTGTAGACGTAGGAGTATTTTGTTTGTTGTTGATAAAATTTTGTTCTCCTTTACATTCAACCCATTTCTTTGGCTATACAGGTGGCCTACACCGATCCCTAGCTATAAGGTCAGACGAGATACTATTGGAAGGTGTTAAGAGCCTTAGAGGTGCAGTTCATCTACGTGCATGCATGTTATAATTAGGTCTGACCCACACAATTTGTCCGGCCCGGTGACCTGTGTTACATCCCTCTGCATTTTGCACATCCCGTTCCAAAAAAAAAAAAACACGACATCATACAACAGCGGGTCGCCCAAATTATTGATGACCGACGTCATCGCTGAAACAAGGAAGTTCCATGGCGCCACCGCTAATTATTGACCTCTCCATTACTTGAACTGCTGTTGATCTTTATAGGTGACTTGAACCGCTGCTGGTGTTGTTTATCTGATCTTGCTCAGTTCTGTTTCAGGATGTGGCCAGGTTGTGGTCTTGTGTGATGTCTGTGTGGCTCGTGATCTGTATTGCAAAAGTTTGTGGCTGCTAAATCCTGGGTGATGCAGCCAAGTTTTGGCGGCATGATACTTGTGTTGTGCTTGTGCGTCTGTGATCGATCATTTCCCAAATTTCATAGATTACTTTCAAATACATGTCTGTGCTCTGCTCTCTTCGCAGAGAAAAAGGGATGATTCCCAAGTTTGTAGAGTACTAAGGCTGTGTTTAGATATAAAGTTTGGATCCAAACTTCAGTTCTTTTCCATCACATTAACCTGTCATACACACACAACTTTTCAGTCACATCATCTCCAATTTTAACCAAAATCTAAACTTTGCGCTGAACTAAACACAGCCTAAATGTTGCCTATTCAAATCAGGGACGGAATGGGACATAGTGTGTCAGCCCGCGGATGAGCTCCTCGGTCTGAGAAAATTGCAATTATAGGACTCCAAACAATAAGCTTCGTAGTTACAGGACCCCAATTGACGACTTCGCTAAAACGACCCTTAAAATGTTGGCACTTTGTTTTACATGACATTTGGTCCTTTTAATCACTTTTCCCTACTAAAATACATGTATTTCACCTTGATGTGACCGTATTTCCCTCAGCTTCAATTGGCGTGCTCCCACGCTGCTAGCCGGTCGTCTGGCTGGCTAGCCGCAGCCTGGGACTGGGATGGCTGGCCGGCCGCCGCCTGTCCATGGCTAGAGCACTGGCTCGCCTGGGATGGCTGGTAAGCTGCTAGCCGCTCTTGAACTTGCTGCAGCTGCCAGCTGCATATGCCCCAAAATTGTACTGTACATGGTCAATCATGCACAAAAATTGCAACACTAACCCAATGAATAAATGAAAGATGATCAAAGATGATCCATACGCAATTACAACGAGATCTCAATTACAAGTAATAGATAAAACCATGAATTTTGCACAAACAAGCTTGTCTCATAAAACCGAGATTCTAGCATAAACAAGTTCATCTCAGAAGACCATAATTTAGTTCCAAACGAAATCTAAGTCATATGAAATAAAGTATGAGTTTACATCTCATCACAACTAAAATTATTCAACCAATGTATAGCTTTCTCTTTGGAGTCATCTTTTTTGGTGCCGCCGCGGTAGGTATCCTCACGGGACTAGTGGTGTTGGTTTGTGACGATATACCTTCTCCTAGTAACATCGCAAGCTTGCTACACATAAATAGGATATGACAATTAGATGTTTGGAAAAAATTAATATACAGTAAATATGTTAATATTTCTGACTATCCCGTAGGATTTCTTCTCTAGTCGGCTTCCGTGGAGTGTTAGGTTCTGCTGCCACAGCTTTTGTAACATTCTTCCTAGGTTGCCTACGCTTCCTACAAGTAATCAAATAAATTAATATTGGCATTTTCATTTAAGTTTTTTGATAAATAAAATCAGTCCTTACCTCTTTTTTGCTGTCCTATTGAGTGGGCACTTGGCACTAGCTTGCCTGTGGCCTTTTTCTCCGCATTTTTGGCAAGTCATAGGTCCTCTGATCATCTTCTTTCCCTTTCCATTTGTTGGAGCAGTATCATTGTCACCTCCCTTCTCACCTTCACTCTCATTGGTAAATGGACCATCTTTGGAACCATTTTTCTTGTGGCCACCTTCCATCCATCCCTTCCTTCTTAGTTTCCTTCGTCTTCCAACAGGTAATTTAGCAAGAGGCGCACCAACTAAAAATGGTAGGTCAACTTGTGGCCATTGAGTTTTGACTGTCATCGGCTCAATCTCTCTTCCATAAGCAGCCCTGAATCTATTCACCGAGTAGTAGTTATGCACAAACTGTTCAAGGTTAACTCCCCGTTGGCGGGTTACATAGGCCAATACATGTTGACATGGCTTACCAGTGTGCTGCCATTCAAGACATGTACAGGTCCTTTGGTGTAACTTGACAATATGCCTCTCAACGTTGCTGCTCTTGTCCCACACCTCTGCACTCCAATTAGAACATGGTACAATTTTCAAATGCCCCAAGCCTCTAGTATTTGCCTTTAGCTGATGCATTATAGCTGGAAGTATCCTGCCTTCAGGTAGCCTGTATGCAATATTTCTTATGGAAGCCAGTTGTCTGTTGTTTCAGAAGCTATGAAGCCATAAGCGAGTGGATACATCCAATTGTGACCATCAACTGCTACAGCTGCGGCCAAGTGACCATTCCACCCTCCATTAAGTGTTGTAGCATCTATGCTCAAATGAGGCCTACAACCTTCTAAGAAACCATCAATGCATGGTTTAAGAGCACAGAAAAAACGGTGGAAATATACTTGACCATCCACCTAAACGACACTCTCGGGGCACCGCTTCATTACCTCGGCCTTCCACCTAAACAACAACTCAACACTCTCTTCCCATTTGCCATAAACCTCTTCAAGAGCTCTTTCTTTACCCCGCCATACAGTGTCATATGAAATTTCACACTTGTGATCTGTCTGCAACCTGTTTTGCAATCTCTTAGCACCAATATTTGGATCATCTCTAAGGATACTCACAGCCTTGCTAGCTACCCACTTCAGAGTTGGAGTTGTAGCTATCTGCCTCATGCTAGACACACATGTATGCTCATCGACTACGACAGTTACATGCAAAACAAAAAATCAAAGAGATTCATGTTAATTTACATAAAAAGTAGAATTAATGAAAGAAAAAATAAATTTATTTACCTCCACAGTGCTTTGGCCTTTTTGTTTGGTGCCATTTATCCTCCAAGTGCAAGGGCAATCTTCATCACCGGACTTGCAATAAGCCCTATATCTCATCTTACATGACTTCTCTACTCCTAAATCAAACTCCTCCTTAATGGCAAATTGCCGCACTGCCAACTTGAACTCCTCCATTGTTGGGTACATTGTTCCTAAAGCCATGGATGGGTTGTTCTTATCATATGAAATGAGCATCTCACCCGGTACCTCATCACTAGTAGGAATGGCAGCACCATCATTATTTTGCCCAAGCTCACTATCATGCCCATGTTCATACATTCGACAATCAAAGCCCTGTGCAGGTATATTTGTTGTGTCCTCCTCTATCACACCTAAAAGCTCACAAATCTGTGACTCATAAGTGCAATACGACCTTCATCATCATGTGTCTCGACCATGTGTATGTTATCCAATCAACTCTTTCCATATTTTCCACATGATCTACTTGGGACCTAAACAAGTGAAATCAAGTTTTACTACTGCCTACTACTATCGTGGTAAAAAAAACAGAAATCTAGTGCAACCAATACATTTGCACTTGAAGAACAGGAAGGTTGAACTCCATTGCTGGAAGAGGAGCATTGGGCAGCAATGTTCTAGCAGCGGCTACAGCACTAGCGTTGGCGTTCTACTATACATGGCCATTGGCTGCCACAGCCAAGGCATCAGCCGGCGCGCCCAGGCCACCAGGCGCCGTGACCAGACCCCGAGCGGCTAGGGCAGAGGCCGCCAGGTCTTCGACTGCTTGGCCTTCCATGGCGATCGGGCGTCCATCTCCATCTTCGGGCGGCGACACTCTATCCATGGGAGCCGAGGATGGGAAGGGAACGGCGGCGTGGTGAGGAAAGGAGGAACGGCGGCGTGGGGAGGGAAGGAGGAACAACGGCGGAGTCGGATGAGATGAAAAGATACCATCGATCAAGTATACAGAAGGCAGAAGGGCAATACGGTCACTTTAGGGCAAAATACATGTATCTTAGTTGAGAAAAGTGATTAAAAGGACCAAATGTCATGTAAAATAAAGTGCCAACGTTTCAAGGGTCGTTTTAGCGAAGTCGACGATTGGGGTCCTATAACTGCGAAGCGCATTGTTTGGAGTCCTATAATTGCAATTTTCTCCCTCGGTCTAGGGTGTTGAACAGTATGGTCTCGTCGCCTCCGGAACCATCGGAACAGTATCCAACTCCAACGATCAAGGAGCCCAGCGACCCGGTGGAAAGAGTAGCGGCGGCGTGGTCGTCGTCGTTGTCGAGGGATGGGGGGATCCACCTTGTACAGTATAGGGTGAAGGGGGATGCTGTCGGAGTAGTGGTGCACGGGGAAGTAGAAGCACAGGTTCGAGCTGTCCTCCTCGTCGCCGCCGTCGGAAGCATCGTCACCCAGATGGAAGATCCTCTTGTTTCGCCTTGGCTCGCCGCATCTCTCTTCCTCACTTCCACGTGGTCGCCGGTGGGATGCACTGAGAGTTGGGGCGGCAGCGTAGAGAGCACTAAAGTAGTCATTGGATCGTGGTCGTGGGCTACACTTCGGATCACTGGTGTCCTTTGTAGTGCGGATACTGGGCCGTGCGACCGATCTAGGAACTGTACGCGCCCTTTCCGACCACGAATATTTAACGTTCAGCGTAACCGAATTCCATCTTGAATAAATGATCGAAAATTTTAGAATTTTAATCGTTAATTTTATACTACTATTTGAATGAGCTTATAAAATCTACTTCCTCCGTTTCACAATGTAAGTCATACTAGTATTTCTCTCGTGCTGATAACGTATTACGCAACCCTCCTGCTACATGAAGTAGTCCAAGAGGGTCCCGTAATTCTACGCAAGTGGAGACACAAGATATGAGGGTGTGGCATCCTTTCTCATTTATCCATTGCATTCTCAAGTGTACAAAACCTCTCCTCCAACCCTCTATTTATAGAGCAATGCCTTGCCCACTTTCCATATTAGTGATGGGCCCAATTAGTGGGTAACCGGGCCGGGCCTTCATGGGCCGGCGGTTTCCTAACACTCCCCCTTGGGCTCTCGCTGCGTGATGCCTATGCCTCATCAAAACTCCACAAAAACCCAGTGGGAAAAATTTGGAGAAAGAGTACATAGCATACACTTGCAATGTCGCACGAATTGCCTCGTTAAAAACCTTAATAAGAAACTGCTGGGAAAACTTATTCAAGGGAAAAAGAGTACAATCCACCCAATTCTTTGTTCAATCTTTCTAGATTGATTTTGGGTACTTGATTTTCTATATCAAGATTCTGAAATGAGTCGGCGAAATTCTCCCCCTAAATTTTGCATTTCTCTAAGTCTCATTATTCCGATTTCTCGGACACACCTATTCAATGAAGATGTCAATAATGAGTTAGCGGATGAATCTGCAAGACTTTCACATGACTTAGTTCATCGCTTCTATGCAATTCATGTACATAGAAGAGCTTGGGGGTTCATATGCTTAGTGAGTTTGCTACTCACATAACTCATTTGCATATGTGTGATATATGCTGCTTTAATTTCATAAATGGTGGGGGT